AATTTTTTGTTTGAGACAGGGTCTCTCTGTGTAGTCCAGACTGGCCTTGAATTTTCAGTGATCCTCCTGCCTCAGCCTGGGATTATGGGCATGTGCCACCATGCCCAATATATATGTTTAAAGAGTATAATTTTATCAGGGAATAGGAATGGGGAATAAGAATGGCTCCCAAAAGATTAGCGGGGCCCCAAATGGGTTGTCAACAGGAGCCCCCTTCTCCAAGAAAGTTTTATAGAGCAAAGTCATAAAGAGTGGGTGTAACACGGATCAAATGATAATCCACCGATGATATTACAACTATAGCCACTTAGCTAAGATTGGTCTAGTAGTGGCAAGGGCAGATGGATGACCCTATTAACCTTGGCTGATAATCTGTAGTTCTAGTTTTACTCACCTTAGTCTTGGTGGTTGTGAGAGGATCGCCCACCTCTAATAGAGAATGGTTTATTTATATGGCAAATCTCAAAATGGTGGCATCAATACCCAGAAGCTTCCTTAGGGAAGGAAGGTGGCCATTGTGACTTTGATCTCCTCCAGATGTGCCACAGCTGGACTGTGTTCTCAACTGCTGCACGGACTTGCTTGAGGCGCTAGTCCTGTCTGACTGCCCCTAATATTTCTACCTAGCTTAGCTGTCTATAATATTCCCCCTGCTGAAGAGTTAACCCTAAATGCATTTAAGGGAGAAGGGGGTGTAGTTTCCATCTAGCTGCTTCGAGCTGAGAAGGATCGGTGAAGGGGAAGCCACAATCAGGGGCCTTCCTGGGGAGAAGTCCTGTTGCTCTTTAGGAGTTATAACTTCCCTGTCCAAGGTCAGCCTTCTACAAGTGGATCCACTAGAGGAGTCTGCACATGTGTTGGTAGTTCCTGCTGCATGACCACCTGGAGTTTGGCAGCCTCAAGGTTCGGGGATCCTGTAGAAAAGTCCCCCCCATGTTCTGAGTCCTTGTTGAACTTGGCTGTCTTCTTAGCCCAGTTACTTTTCTAGTTCTGGTCTCCAAACAATCATGGTGGTTTTAGTAGTTCAGCCTTTCCTTCCAAAGTTCTCAGTGGGGGCTGGCCTGATAGCTCAGCAGACTAAAGTGTCTGTTTAGGCAGAGTACAATGGCTGGGGTTCAATCCCCAGCATGCCATGCCAGCCTCGCTCTCAGTGTGCTGAGACGGTGATTAAGGCTATGCATGGTGGCATGTGCCTGTAATCCCAGCGCTTCGGAGGCTGAAAACAGGAGGACCACTATGAGTCCAGTCTATGTAGGGAGACCCTGTAGACCCCCGTAGACCCTGTACTAAAAACAGGGGAATAAAAAAAAGGTCTCAGTGGGACCTTCAAGATGATATTATGGAAAAACATGTAACCCTTAACCCATGAGTTGTCAGATATGCTGAGCTCATGTTCCCCAAAGTTGAAGAATGAATTCTAAGGAATAAC